GGAGTATATTAGTTGCCTCTGCAACTAATATACTTTAAGTATCTAGGCTTGTTTAGTTTCCTGCATCAGAACCAGGCTCCAAGCCACCTCTGTTTGGAACCAGGTGACATCTGATCATACAGAATGCCAAGGCTGCTTTTCTGAGGCTTTTCTGAGGAGACACCTCCAGATATGCTTACAGTTTACAGGTTTTTTCTCAGTGGGTAGAACTGAAAATAAAGTGCCTTTCAGTATGAGTTGACCAAACTAGCTTCAAACTATGGATTGCTTGGCTTGTCTTACAGTAGCATTAGACTTTAAGCAGGGCTGCAGAATAAACCATGTTTATACATCTCCACCTCATCCAGCAAAATCAGAGGACAGAGAGGGTAAGCACCCATCTGTCTGCAAAAGACTATATAGACTTTCACAGTGTAATGAGCTGGACTTTGTTAATGTGTAAAGAAATTAATTAAAACCTCTCCCTTCCCCCAATATTGGTTAAATATTATGACTCACCTGGTTGCCTTCTGAGCACAATAAAACTTGACAGGATTGAAGGGGCGGGGGGGACGGGGACGTGGAGGAAGGAGGGGATGTGAGATGTTTCTTCCTCTTTGTGTCTATCTGGCTTCTCAGTGCAAAGTCACATTCTGTCATGTTACATACACACCAAAATATTTAGAAATACACAGGGCAAAGATCAGCTTGCAAGTATGAGTTCATGAACTCTGCCAGCGCACAGATCTCTCTGCCAGAGCAGCACAGCATCCTAGAGGCAAGTCAAATGAAAACAGTCAGAATAATACACTCAGGTAACAGAAAAGGCAATTGTACCGCCAGGACCAATCCTGAATGAAATATATTTTGGCATATATTGAAACCTTGACAAAAGGAAGCCTTCAAGGTTACCACCAGAGTTGACTTAATTTTATTTTATTTATCTTTTTTTTTTTTTTTTTTTTTTTTTTTTTTTTTTTTTTTTTTTTTTAAAGGAGAAGGAGTGTTTAATTATCAGTTCTCGAGCAAACAGTGGTTCGGCAAAATGTCAGATCTCCAGCTGAGACGCCACCAGTTTGTGCTGGGGATTGTGTGCCAGGCGGCTGCATGGACAGGCGAGGACCTCCGACTGTTCGCTGAATGAATTTCCACTCGTGCCGCTCGACATTGATTGAAAGCGAAGGCTGCTGTTGGAGCCCTCAGGCTGTCTGAAGAAATCCATCCCTCCCCATGCTAGATCCTTGATGAGTGTAACTCCAGCTTCAAGAGAGACCGGGTGAAGAGGAAGGAATTTAACCCTTCTGGCCCCTGGAAGCAAAGCACTGTCAGTGATTTGGGGGTGATACTTAAAGCAAAAGAAGGGAAAGGAAAGAGAACAATGAAGCAGGAGGCTAAGGAATTTTTTTTCCTATATTTATCTCACCCTTCTTATTTTGTAAGATATAAAAGACATAAGCACAGAATGCATTGTCAGACAATCTTCTGTTTTCTAAGCTTAGTTTCTCTGAATCCATTTTAATGTCTAAAACCAGAAAGAAGGTTTAGAACAAACCCATGATTTTGGCATGAAGAGGTATCTACAGTCTTCTCCAAAGGATGGCAAGTTGAACTACATATAATTGGTGTAAATATATCTTAGAGTTCTCTAGGATAACATTGCCTGAACTGTTTATACTCTCCAGCATCAAAATTTGTGTAATTCTTTGGCTGTGCAATTCTATTTGCCAAACACCAAATTTGAGTTGCATATACCTGAAAGTTACTTGATGTTCTAACCAATACATCTGACTGCAGATGTATAAATGGCTGTTGTCCCATGAGTGCCAGCCTTCCATTCTCTACAGAATCTACCCCATGAAATGCAACAAATTTTTTTTTAATCATAATAAGCATTTTGGTTCAATTTTATCTGGCTGTGCATAAATTCACCTAGAACTTATTCATTCACACTATATTTGTCATACTGGGAATGAATTGCTATGAGAGCCAAATGAGATTGCAGTCTGCATTGACCAATTAGTTATATGTCTTTCTTTCTTTCTTTCTTTCTTTCTTTCTTTCTTTCTTTCTTTCTTTCTTTCTTTCTTTCTTTCTTTCTTTCTTTCTTTCTTTCT